TATCCTCAGATGAGGTTTAAAAAAAAAGTTCCTGGTACTTCTTATAAAATGCAAGCAGTTGGGTCTTGCTTCACCCATCATCACTAATCATCAGGGAAATGAAAATCAAAACCACAAGATATTACCTTACACCTATCAAAATGGCTATCAAGAAGAAAGATAAGTATTGTCAAGGATGTTCAGAAAAGGGAACACTTATACACTGTAGGTGGAACTGTAAAATGGAACAGCCATTAAGAAAAACAGCATGGCAGTTCCTCAAAAAAAATTCAAAATTGAAATACCATATGAGCCAGCAATCCCACTCCTGTGCATATATTTGAAAAAAAAAAAAATGAAATCAGAATCTGGAAGAGATATCTGCACTGGCATGTTAATTGCAGGATTATTCACAATAGCCAAGATATGGAAACAACCTACATGTCCTTTAATTGATGGAATAAAGAAAATGTGGTAAATGTATACAATGGAATATTATTCAGCCATAAATGAGAAGTACTAGTAAATCCTGCCATTTGCAACAACATAAATGAATCCTAAGGGCATTTATGCTAAGTGAGCCAGAAAAAGAAAGACAACTTATATGTGGAATCTAAAAAAAAAAAAAAGCCAATGTCAAAGAAACAAAATAGCTTGGTGGTTGCCAGGGATAGGAGTAGGGGGAAATAGGATGATATAGGTCAAAGGACACAAATTATCAGTTACAAGAAGAGTTTCTACCAGTCCTCCCTGGGCCAACGAAAGAAGCAAAAATAAACAATGTGTAAAAGGGCAGGCTCTTCAATAAATGATGCTGGGAAAACGGAAGAGCCATACAAAAAAGAATAAAACTGGACCACTATCTTACACCATATACAAAAATTAACTCAAATGGATTAAAGACTTGAATGTAAGACCTGAGACTATAAAAATCCTAGAAGAAAACATAGGCAGTAAGCTTTTTAACATCAGTCTTGACAATATTTTTTTTTTAATCTGACAGCAAAAGCAAAATAAACAAGTAGGACTACATCAAACTAAGACATTTGTGCACAGCAAAGAAAACCATCAGCAGAATGAAAGGTAACCTACTGAATGGGGAAAACATCTGCAAAGCATATATCTTATTAGAAGCTAATATCCAAAATATATAGAGAATTCATATAACTCCATAGCAAAATTAAACAACAATCTGATTTAAAAATGGGTAGAGCATCTGAATAGACATTTTCCCAAAGAAGACATACAAATGGCTAACAGGTACATGAGAAGATCCTCAACATCTCCAACCATCAGAGAAATTCAAATCAAAATCACCATAAGCCCTAGCTGGTTTGGCTCAGTGGACAGAGCATCAGCCTGCAGACTGAAGGGTTCCGCCTGGTCAAGGGCATATACGCGGGTTATGGGCTCGATCCCCAGTAGGGGGCATGCAGGAGGCAGTCAATCAATGATTCCTATCATTGATGTTTCCATCTCTCCCCCTCTCCCTTCCTCTCTAAAAATCAATAAAAACAATATTTTTTTAAAAAATGTTCCACTTTAAAAACAAAACAAAACACCATAAGATACACCTCACACCTGTCAGAATGGCTATTATTTAAAAGACAAGAAATAAGTGTTGGTGAGGAAGGGGAATACTTGTGCACTCTCGGTGGAATGATATTGGTGCAGCCACTGTGGAAAACAGTATAGAGGTTCCTCAAAGAATTAAAAGTAGAACTACCATAGGATCCAGCAATTCCACTTCTGGGTATTTATCTGAAGAAAATGAAAACAATAACTCAAAAAGATATAGGCACCCCCATGTTTATCGGAGCATTATTTACAATAGCCAACATATGGAAACAACTTAAGTGCCCATCAATAGATAGATAAAGATTATATATATATCCAAATGGAATATTAATCAGTCATGAAAGGAATAAAATCTTACCATTTGTGACATGGATAAACCTTGAGGGCATTATGGTAAATCAGATAAAGACAAATTCCATATGACATCATTTATATGTGGAATCAAAAAAAAGTTAATAGATACAGAGAATAGTAGTTGCCACAGATGAAGTTTTTTTTTTGGGGGGGGGGGGGCCTGGGGGCAAATGGGTGAAGAGGATCAAAAGGTAAAAACGTCCAGTTAGAACATAAGTAAGTCATGGGGATATAATGTACAGTTTGATGATTATCTATATATATAAAAGCCTAATATGCAGAGTGTCCCCTTGGGAATTTGATCGCTCGCTATGACATGCGCTGATCACCAGGGGGTGGCATGGAACAAAGGAAGGCCCCAGCTGGCAGGCCACAGCTGGGGAAGGGAGGCCCCAGCCAGCAGCCGGCAGCCAGGGGAGGAAAGCCCCGGCTGGCAGCTGGCAGCCTGCAGCTGTTAGGGATCTTACCCGTGCATGAATTTCATGCACTGGGCCTCTAGTAGTTAATAATACTGTACTGAATATTTCAAAGCTGCAAAGAAAGTAAACGTTAGGCCCAGCCGCATGGCTCAATAGTTGAGCATCAACCTGTGACCCAGGTAGTCACAGTTCAATTCCCAGTCAGGGCACATGCCCAGACTGCAGGCTTGACCCCAGTGTGGGGCATACAGGAGGCAACTGATTGATGATCCTCTCTCATCATTGATGTTTCTAACTCTCTCTCCCTCTCCCTTCCTCTCTTAAATCAATTAAAATATATTAAAAAAGAAAAAAGCAAATCTTAGAAGTTCTCATCACAAGAAAAAACTATGTGTGGTGATGAATGTTAACAAGATGTATTGTAGTGACCATTTTACAATATACAAATATCAAATCATTATGTTATATACCTAAAACTAATATTTTATGTCAATTATACCGTAATAAAAAAAATGTATGGGCATTAATAGAACATTTAATCACATTAACTGAGTTCAAGTTTAATCCCTAAAAATACTTAGTTTCCTTACTTTTTATACTGTTTTATGAAATAAATTCAATCTAAACTACTTGATTATCATTTTTGTTACTTATTTTAAACTATAAAGTCCATGTATACTACTGCAAATTGATGGAGGTATCATCTATTATAGGTCTACACCTAATCCTATCTAATAAGAGTAATATGCAAATTAACCGTCACTTCGTGATAAAGATGGCGGCACTCACCGCCAGTAAGGAGGAAAACTGCAAACTGACTCGACAAAGATGGCAGTGCCAGCCGGAGCCACGAAGCCGGCCAGAAAGCAGGAGAGCGGGTGGGAAGCCTTGGCATCCTGGGTCACCCCAGAGAGAGCGGGCAGCATGAGCAGCCGCCCCACCAGAGTCCTCCAGTTTCACCCCGGCCTCGGAGGCGATGGGCAAGGACGGGAGTGGGATAGGGATGCTACATCCAGTTTGGGCGCTGCAGCAGGGCACTGTGTGCGGATGGAGTGCCCAGCCCACATAGGGGCGTGGACGGTGGGGAATGGGGAGCCCCTATTTGGGGAATGGTAGTGCAAAGAGGAGCAGTGTGATCGCACATAGCTCACCCACCTCCTCTGGAAGAATTCCAAGGAGAGGTGGGGAATGGCAGGCTTCAGCTGCACCTGCCACCTGAGGGCAGCGCCGCTTTCACTCACTTGCTCATGTGCCGCAGGCTCGCTCCTTCCAGGACACGAATTGGCGGCACGGGGGGTGGGGGTGGGGGGGAAGCACGGCCATCAGTTCCAGGTTAGAGGGCTGCTGCCTCTTGCTCCAGGACAGGCGGGACAATTCACATAGGAAACTAGGGTGACGCCCCCTTAAAGGGCCCAACTCCCTGAAAACCAGACTCGCCCAAAAAAGATAAGCTCTTTGCTACTGTACTGATCTTTCATCTTTAAGCATCATTCACACATTAGACACTTTATCCATACCATTAGAACGTTATAAAATAGATGTGTGCTTTTTTTAAACTTCATTTTCCAGATAAGGAGAGGAAGACTCAGGGTCTAAATCCACAACTGTCTGGGTGGAGAGCTTCTGTTCAGCTCTGAAGGCTGGGAAAGTGGCAATGGATGACTATCCCAAAAATACTAGATCAGTGGTTCTCAACCTTCTGGCCCTTTAAATACAGTTCCTCATGTTGAGACCTAACCATAAAATTATTTTCGTTGCTACTTCATAACTGTAATGTTGCTACTGTTATGAATCGTAATGTAAATATCTGATATGCAGGATGGTCTTAGGCGACCCCTGTGAAAGGGTCGTTTGACCGCCAAAGGGGTCACAACCCACAGGTTGAGAACTGCTGTACTAGATGGTGAAAGAAGGAGCTGGAAATGAGACAAAATCATATGTGTGCATCTTCAAAGTAAAGAGGATGCCGCTCCAGTCTAGGCACTTTCTAGGAGACCTTGACAATTATTGGCAAGCTGCCATTCTGAAGCAAGCAAAGGTGAGGAAGTACAGGTAATGCAGAATAGAAACTGCAGTTTGGTCAGATCAAGGACTTTGACCTAGCAATGTAATGCTATCAGAGTTAGGACGTTCTGGGATTCTCAGAACTTTGCAATTGATTTCTATTGTTTGCTTCAAGAAATTTCAAGCAAATGCCCTGAGATTTTGTATTTCTATAATAATAAAAGCGTAATATGCTAATTAGACTGGACATCCTTCCCGACGAAGCCAGGGTTGCGAGGGCAGCCCCTCCCAGGTGCCAGAGGGAAGCCAGTGTTGGCAGCTGGGGGAAGGAAGGCCTACTCTTGCACGATAGGCCTTCCCTGCCGGCCTGATACATCTGTACATTTGAATGTGTATATTATCTATACTAATAAAAGCCTTGGGGGCGATCAGGCCAGCAGGGGAGGGCAGTTGGGGGCAATCAGGCCATCAAGGGAGCAGTTAGGTGTCAATCAGGCCGGCAGGGGAGCAGTTAGGGGGCGATCAGGCTGGCGGGCAGAAGTGGTTAGGGGCAATCAGGCAGGCAGCAGGTGAGTGGTTAGGAGCCAGTGGTCCTGGATTGTGAGAGGGATGTCCGACTGCCCCTGTGGGATCGGGCCTAAACCGGCAGTCGGACATCCACCGAGGGGTCCCAGATTGAAGAGGGTGCAGACTGGGCTTAGGGACACCCCCCCGCCCCGTGCATGAATTTTGTGCAATGGGCCACTAGTTATCTATAAAACAGTAATGGAAACATTACTGTCCCAATCAGGCACAGGGATTTCCTTCCATTTAAAAAAAGTACTTCTAACCCAGCTTAATAACTAATCCCATTTCAATTAAGGACTTGAAAAAAATGTATTAGAGGCACATTTTTAAAAGCAAATACAGTATGAAATCTTGCTTTTTACTGAGTCATGTAATTTTGCTTGTTTATTTGCTTTCATGGCTATTTGATTTACGCCCTTCTTCTGGACACCTTTAGTATACAACCCTCATTCTTTAAACAACCAAAAAACCACACAGACTTAAGTTGTATGAAAACTTAAGCTGGTACTGTCAGCTGAAGACACCATAAATAGCACCATAAGAACATTTGTGCTAAATTTTAACACTGTTCATTAACAGTTCCATCTTCCTGAGTTTGCGTTTGTTCTTTGGCATCGGCTTAGGATATAATCCATTTTTCAGAAGGTGTTCCTTGCTGAGGCGAATTTGAGCACCATGCTGAAGCTGGAAAGAGCATAAAGCTCGAAGAGGGCGAAGCAAAGTCTGTTAAGATAAAAAAAGAAGAAAAAAAAACTAAAAATGTGTCTGTGACAAGTTATGACATTCTATCTAGATTTTTCCTTCAGAAACAAGCATTATTACCTTAATTATCATTACTATTAGCTCTTAACTATGAAGAGCAACAAGTATTCTAATAAATATATGGGATTTCTAAATAAGTAATTTATTTAAATTCATACCTTACATACCACTAAGTAACTCCAGTAAAAAGACACAAATTGATTTTCCATATAGGTGATAAAGCTTAGATTTAGTTTTATACATTAAGATATTCAAACACCACAAAAGTGTTGCCATTATAATAATTTAATCTGTAACAGACAACAAGAGACCTTTAGTTAATAAATATAAATTGATTCATTTTCAATAACAGAAAGATACAAGCTTCCTGCTATCTAATAACAATTAGCTGATGGCAGTGATGGGTAAGTGGTTGACTAACGCAGACTAGTACATGGACCACATGCCAGTCAGACACCAGGTTTTGGTGCATTCAAAATAATTCTAACTGTATACATACCAGCCCAATTTAAATACCTACAGGGCAGCCATTTAACAGATGCATGTGAACTGGGTGGATCCATAGGATAACAGAAAGTGGTAGAGGTTGTAAACAACTGGAGCATATACCTTTCCTAAAATTATGCAAATTTTTAAAAATTTTAAGTAAAAACACTATATCAGTGCTTTATACCATAGAGATTTCAGTTTTAATCATATTTTGAGTCAGATTCTTTCCTTAAGCCTAAGATCCCTGATCTAATTCTTTTAAATAATAATAGCAACACTTGATTGAGCAGTTAAAAAAAAGGAACAAAGAAAAACTCAGATTAAACTATAAAAATTTTAAAATATCCATGTGAAAAATTATTCCCCCACATATACAACACAAGTGGTAGAAAGGCTTCTTAACAGCTTTAATGTGCAATGAACTCTTACAAATTTTAGCAGTCACTAGTAGTTGCTTCTTCATATCCATTCTTTTCTTCCTTATTAAGCCTTTTGTACACCATAAGCGTCTATAGATGCTTTAAAAAATCATTTTTCATGAGAATTTTCAACTGAAAATATTCAAGAACACCCAAATTGTGAGTAATATGTTTATTTTTATAATATTCATTGCAAATTGATTTTTTAATTAAATTCAAAATATCGTGGCGTGGTTTCTGTTTTGGACGCATGGCAGTTAACTGGTTAAAAAAATCAAAAATTGTATTCAAGGTGGCAATGTGTCCAGCTAGTGATATGACATTGGGTAATGACACAGTCTATCCAATAAGATATAAGTGTAAGTCTTTGGGTGGGGCTCCCAGGGATTCTCTTTAAAACAGGACAGACCTAGCAGACAGAGGCTTTTGCTCTTTCTTCTGGACTGGAACATGATTGTTAGAGATGGAATAACCACCTTGTGACTACAGGGCAAGAAACATGAAGATTAAACCAAAAATATATATGACAATGAACAGAAAAGCAGGAAAAAAACCTGCGTCTCTGATGCATCACCAGCCCTGGACTGCTCACCTCAGCATTTCTTATTTACAGGAGAAAAGAAATTGCTATATGGTTCAACCACTGCAGTAAGTGATCTGTTACGTAAGACAAATATCCTGGAAAAGCTCTGCATGACACTGTTGTAGAAAGACCCTTAGATATGTGTGTGTGTGTGTGTATATAGATAGATATAGATATATATAGAGATATAGATAGATAGATATATGTTATATATATAAAACCCTAATATGCAAATAGACCAAATGACAGAACCAAACAAGTGGTTGCTATGACATGCAATGACCACCAGGGGGCACGCACGGAACATGGTGGGTGTCTGCAGCAGGTGGCAGAGCATGGAACGTGGCGGGTGTCGGCCGCAGCAGGATGGTGGAACAGGTGAGCAGGGGCGCCAGACTAAGGTGGAGTTCCAGTCGCTGTCATCGGGGTGAGTCTCTGGTGGTTACTGAAAAGTCTTTGCTCCCGTGCGCCGTGGTCTCAACCGGCACTCACGCATGCTGCCGGTGCCGGCCCCGCTGCTGGCATTTGGCGCCAGCCCTGATCACTCGGTGCCATCACAGGTACGAGTGGTGGTTGCCAGCCCTGATCACCCCTGAGGGCTTCTCTACCTCCCCCTGCTCCTGAGAGGTAATTAGGGCAGCAGCCACTGCTTGCACCCACTAATGACATGAGCCCCACTCGCACCTGCTGCTGGCGCTGGCCCCAATCACTCCGTGCTGTCAGTGGGTGCGAGTGGGGCTGGCACCATCTGCTTGTGTGAGTGGCAGTGGCGGGAGTGGGGCTGCCAGTAGAGAGGGGACCAGGGGCCGTGGCGGGAGGGGCTGGGCAGGGGTGCGGAGGATGGGCCAAGACCTGCCCCTGTGCCTACCACAGCCTAGTGGCCCACTGTTCCTTTCAAGGTGCACGAATTCATGCACTGGGCCCCTAGTCTTCAAACAAGACAGGAAATTTGAAGATGACTATATATTACTTTACAGAGTTAGCACAGTGAATTGATTGGATTTTGTATCACTGTACTTAGAAAACATATCTAGGACTATGTACAGACTGAGACAATTGAAGGTTCTATTGCAACTTTATGGAATTTATTAAATTCTGCATAGACAAGGGAATACTATATTCCTCTGGTTAAGAGCCTCTAACTTTTACCTCCTAAACATATGCCACCTCTGGGCAGAAGCTTTAAAAGCAGTATATGATTGACCACCTCCCTTTATTCGTTCCTTGAAGAAAATGGAATGACATGTCTAGATAGTGCCTCCATCAGCCTGGTTCCCTAAGTGACTACAATGAGCAGAGATCGCCTGGCAATCCCAATGGACAGGCAGTGTGAGAGAGCCATACACCGTTGTTGTATTATGCCATTCTTAATATTGGACTTTTAAGTTACTGGAGCCTAATCCAGCCTATTTTTTTATCGAATTTATTGGGGTGACATTAAATAATAAAATTATGTTTCAGGTATAAAATTCTATAGTACATCATCTACATAATTTATTGTGTGTTCACCATCCCAAGTCAAATCTCCTTCCATCACCATTTATCCCCCTTATCTTCTTTTACCTCCCCCACTACTACCCTTCCCTTTTTGTAATCACCATGTTATTGTGTCTATGAGGTGTTGTTTTTTTGTGGGGGCTTTTTTCTTAATCCCTTTGCCTTTTTCACCTAGCCCTGAAACCTCCCTCCCCTCTAACAATTATCAGTCTGTTCTCTATCTATGAGTCTGCTTCTATTTTGTTAGTTTATTTTGTTCATTAGATTCCACATGAGTGAAATCATATGATACTTGTCTTTCTCTGACTGGCTTATTTCACTTAGCACAATGCTCTCCAGGTCCATTTATGCTGTTGAAAAGGTAAGATTTCCTTCTTTTTTACAGCTGCGTAGTATTCCACTGTATAAATGTGCCACCGCTTTTTTATCCACTCATCTACTGATGGACACTTGGGCTGCTTTCAAATGTTGGCTATTGTAAATAATGTTGCAATAGACATAGGGGTGCATATATTATTTCAAATCAGTGTTTCAGATTTCTTCAGATATAACATTATATGCATTATATCTGAGGCACTCTGAAGCTTTATGAGAGATGGACCAGATATCAGGAACAAAGAAAATCTTCTATTTTATAAAATAAACAAGATAGTTCCTAAAAAGGTTACTTGGGGGAAAATCAGTGTTTTGTAAATCCTTTTGTCTATAGGTACAAAGTGAGTTTTCAAGGGACCATTATTACCAACTGCTGGTGCTGAGTGTAGCTAAGGCACTTAGGCTACAGCACAAAGCTTGGCCACATCTGGTTATAAAAGTTCATAAGGTCAAACTTCATAAGCAGAGAGGGCGCTATAATAAAAAAAGATTCCCAAGCTCGAGATTTCCAAGGTATGAAAACCCTGGTAAATTTTATTGCAGCTGATGAAAATCACCAATTTTCAGTTCAAAATTGTTGTCAATCCTATCAGAGGGCCGAGGAAGGGCAAAAGGATTATTTTGAGTGCCTGATGTCAGGCAATTACACTTTATCCCATTCAATTCTCACAACACTATGAGGTAATTAATTTTCTTATATTACAGATAAGAAAATAAGCATTAAGAGATTACATGAATTGCCCACTGGCAAAAAATAATGATGATAAATGATGAAGTTTTAATTCAAACCTGCTTCAAAGCTCCTACCATGCTAGACTTCCAAGGGTTTGTCAAACCTGCTCAAAGCTCTTATCATGCTAGACTTCCAAGTGTTTGAAAAACTACTCAAGAAGAAAGGATGAGGATAAATCAACAGACTAAGAAGGCTATTATTTTGAGGAGCCCTACCTCTATAGAATGAAGCAGGCTGAAAAATTACTACTCTCCCCCATCATGTTAAGGTTCTATAATGATGCCATTAATTAAAGGTTATGAGTGGGGGGAAGGGTTGGCAAAGGAAAAAGAGAAAACACCTTTATGTTTCTCAGAAGAATGTACCAATTTTTTTATGATAGCTAGATCTGAACAGGCTGGACTTGGGGTGCCCCCACTAAGCAAGCTACGTTTTTGCCATCTGCAGTAATAAACAACTTGGGATGTTTCATTTTGCATTTCTTCTGCTCATACTTTAACCAACCATTTCATTAGTACCTCCCAGATCACATGTCTGATTGTCAAACATCCTTTTCCTACTGAAAAAGCAAAGAGAATTAGACTATTACTTTGGGATTTTACTTTCAATTTTCTTCATAGATAACAATAACAAAAACTGAAGAGATGAAGGATCATGTCATCATTCTATATCTTAAACTTTGCCTGTTGTTAGATATTATACTCAGAACATAAGATATGTTTCCTGCTATCATAGTACATTAATTAATACCAGAATAATCTATTTTATAAAACCAGGAAAGGGGGCAGCAGTAGCAGCATTTAGTAGTAGTACTAATATAAACCCCATCCTGAACCCCAGCCCTATTATTTTACAACTATTATTATTAAACCAACATCACTACCAACATTAAAGCTTCTGTTTGGGATTGCAGTGAAAATCAAATTTCAATTGTGAGAGTAAGAGATATACCTCAATAGAGGATTCTTTTTAGAACCCAAAAGAAGGAGAAGAAAGTAAGTTTTATTGTTTTTCATAATCCTCAGTCAAGGGTATGTTTCTATTGATTTTATAAAAAGGGAAGAGGTAGAGAGAAAAAGAAAGGAGATATATATTACACATACACACACACATACATACATACATACAAAGGGAAAGAGAGAAACATCAATGTGAGAGAAAAATATCATCAATTGACCAGGGATCGAACCAACCTATGTGCCCTGACCTGGAATAAAACCCACAACCTTTTGGTATACAAGAAGATGCTCTGACCAACTGAGCCAGCTGGTTAGGGCAAGGAAATAAGTTCTATATCTATACACAAAGAATATTATATTTTCCCTTCAAGATTTGAACTTTTAATGGATCCTTGGTATAATGATGGCTGATCCAACCAACTAAGCCACACTGGCAAAGGCCACAAACTTCTATCACAGATACATTCTACTTGTCACTTGAGCTACAAACTTAACAAGCTATGTATTTCTAACTTTTCTAGATAAAATCTAATCAAAATCCTATTTTCAAAAACTATATAATCTTTCAAAGACAGACCTACCTCTTGTATGTAATTATTTTTCTCTAAGATGGAAAGAGCAACAGCTGCACACTCCAGTGTAGACAGGCACCTATTAGTTGGTTGCGCCCGAATTACATACTGACTAGAAATGCTAGTTTTTAACTGCACCTGAAACCAAAAACAGAACAGAATGTAATTTTTGTTTTAAATTTAAAACTATAAAGTCTGTGTTTTAAATACTAATTAATTTAATTTCCTTCTGAATTGCCAGTTTAGAAATATTAAATATATCAATATTTTCTATACACATATCCTGTTAGTTATTTTCAAATAGTATAAGAGGATACCAGAATACATATATACAAATTCCTACAAATCAAAAATAAACAGACTAATAGCCCCCTCTCAATAGGCAAAAGAGTGAATAGATACTTCACAAAGAAGATATAAGAATGGCAAATAGGTATGTGTAAAAGGGCTCAGCATGATTTAATGTAAATTAAGATCACAATGATATAACATTTCATACTCACCAGAACAGTTAAAATCAAAAAGACTAACAACACCAGGGACCAAGGGAGGATATGGAGCAAATTAAATTCTCTAACACTGTAGTGGCACTGAAAATGGTGTAATCACTTTGGAGAATTTATTTCATGATTGATATCCTCCCATTATTTCTTAATATAAACTGATAGGTGTATGTCCATATGGGTGTGAATGTGTATAAATATAGACACACACATACATACACATATGTATGTATGTATCCTCTCTTTTTAGATAAAAGGTGACATACTATACATATTTTATCCATGAAGATAATATTTTAACTGAGACCTAATGACTGAGACAGAATCAGATATAAAAAAGCAATAAAAATTTGAATGTCAACACATTTGGCCTTTAGATTCCTATTGTAATTAAATGAACAAGTAATTTTATACTCACAAAGCCATATTCCTAGCCCACACTCTGATCAGAATCACATTTAAACATGTGTGGATAGATGAGAATTCCAGCTTTTACTCATAAATTATGTAAGCATGGGGATTGAAGGTAGTGGTGTCTAAGTATTAATACAAAGCAACTTATTAAAATCAGGTGTTCTCTCTTATTTTCTTTTTTTTAAATACATTTTTAATGATTTCAGAGAGGAAGGGAGAGGGAGAGAGAAATAGAAACATTAATGATGAGAGAGAATAATTGACCGGCTGCCTCCTGCACATCCCACATTACGGATCCAGCCCGCAACTTGGACATATGCCCTGACCAGGACTCCTGGTTCATAGGCTGACGGTCAAACCACTGAGCCACGCGGGCTGGGCTCTCTTATTTTCTAATATCTCTAAAGTCCCATGAGTCTCTCATTCCTTTATACCATTAAAACCCATCCATGGCATCTTGTCCCTCAATCCTTTCCCTCCTTTGCTTCTCATGCAGTCCCCCCATAATATAGTTCTATTAGAATTGCTTTTTGTTCAAAGAATTCTCTTCTAGAACTTGTTTCCTTTCTTTCCTCAGAAAGAGGAAGAGAGGAGAAGAGGAGGAAAGAAGAAAGGAAGAGAGGAAGGGGAGGAGAGGGAGAGAGAAAGAAAGGACGGGAGGGAGGAAGCACAGTGGGTATCATCAAGATTCACTACATAATGTATTTGGTTTTGGGATACATCCTTTAAAGCATATTTGACTAATAATGTTTTAGATATGATCATAGAAAGATTATTCGACATTTCTACCAATAGCAAAATAAAAATTAGATGCAGGGAAGCAAAGAGATGGAGGAAAAAATTGAAAAACATGTACAGTGATGAAAGAAAGCCTATGATTAAATAACTGTAAGAATAATTCATGATGTTGATTAACTGTAATTACTAATAGCTTTAATATTTCATCAGGTCAACTAGTAGAACGGAGTACAGACAAATAGTTTTTCAACACTCAATTTCAAGTCAAAACTGAAAAAATTATAATAGACAGCTGATTAAAACAAAATGTTTGTGAAACATGCAAAATTCACAGTAAGTTTTGTTTATTGGAATGAATTTGATTTTTAACACATTGTATGCGGGAAACGTATTTATACGTTTTACGTTGACTGGTAGTAGAGCGTGGGACACGTACTAATACGTTTTTTATAGACTAGCGGTAGAATGCGGGTAACGTATAAATACGTTTATTTTTATACTTTTTTATTGCTCTAAAGGGATGATAACATGCAGATATACGAATTCCAAAGGACAAAATTTGAGTCTCTAACACATACAATGGTGAATTATGTATGTACTTCCAGGTATAACGGTAATCTATTCAACTGCGTAGAGTCATCCCTTCACACAATTCTCTGCCTCGCCACGCATTCAGTGCGATTCTAAGAAAAATAATTCAGTATACATTTTATAGTAAATCACAAAAAGTTTCATTGAAAAAAAATATGTAAAACTAAAGTTATCGTAATTTTACTGAATGTTGCCATTTGCGCAAAAAATTAGCAAAAATGGCATGCGCCACCTGTTAGTGCGCGATAAAAACTACCCGCAAACAATGTGTTAAAAGACATTTTTCATTTCAGGGAGGTGTTTTAATTTTTACTGTGACCCACATGGCTATATGAAAACTCAGAATTTGAAATTTATCATGTGTTACACTTCAGAATATCCTACACACATCATCTCTCTGGGAATTATCCAGTAACTGGATATATTAAAAGAGTATATAACTAAGATCTGTCATATTACTAATACACACTAGAGGCCCAATGCATGAAATTCATGCAAGGGGCTGGGCCCCCGCAGCCCTGCCTGCCTTGGCCAGCCCTCGCAGCCCCGGCTTCTTCCAGAAGGTCATCCAGACAGTTGTTCTGCTGTTTGGTCTAATTAGCATATTAGCTCTTTATTAAATAGGATGTTATTAGAGCATGCTAATATGACATTCTCCAAGCTCCTCTTTTTTGTGCTATTTCACCTTCATCAGATATTTAACTCAATGAGTAAATAAACAAGTGCAAAAAGAAACGCTGTGGATCCATCTTTTTGAGAAGTCACAGGCATCATAAGAAATAATTGGTCAAAAATTGTCTTATCTTCTTAAGTAAATGTAGAAGAAAATTCAAGGCAAAGTTATTCAAAGAAAAAAATTAACATATGATAACAGCATGGAATATAGAAAGAGGACTTACTGAAGACCAGGATTATTATATCAAACCTAACAATAATTAATCAATCTCAGTCAAGTCCTTCAGTTTCTCACTTCCTCCTCACCTATAAAAATCAGACCACTGGCCTCCTCTATAGTCTGCCGGGAGCCGGTCCATCCTTGCTGTTTCAAGGGACCTGGCATATATGGCATATTGTTCTTAATATGTTTGCTCACCTTCTTGGCACTATGTGTTTTAACCAAGGTCTACCTGCTGGGGTTGGACCCCAGCATCTGGCGCCCGAACAGGGACCCCTAGGTAAGCGCCCTGCACTCGGACAGATAGGACTCCACCATAGGAAGAGGGTGGATAGTCTTCGCCGACTCCGTCCACACCTTTGGGAACCCCTGGATAAATAGGGTAAAGAAGGTGGATAGTACAGAACTTAGATTGAGAAGATGTGCCATACTGAGTCCAAAGAAAGAAGACTCTGTATTGATCTTTAGATTAAGAAGATGTGCCATACTGAGTCTAAAGAAATAAGACTCTGTATTGATCTTTTAACACATATGCTTGCTAGCAGAGGAATTAAGGTTACTCCCAGTCAGACAGAACGTTTTATACAAGAAGTATGTCCATGCTTTTCTGAGGAAGGAAAGGTAAATGTAAAGGCATGGGAGGAGGTTGGCCCAAGGAGCCTTATCCTTAACCCCACTGCAGCCTTTCCACCCCGGGAAAGTGCAGGATTGGCAAGCTCTCCCTGGGGTGATAGATTAGGACTCAGGTAATAGCGGAAAGCGCCAATCCTACTCTTAATGCCTGCTTTTAAAAAATAAAAAAGGGAGAATTTGCCGGGAGCCGGTCCATCCTTGCTGTTTCAAGGGACCTGGCATATATGGCATATTGTTCTTAATATGTTTGCTCACCTTCTTGGCACTATGTGTTTTAACCAAGGTCTACCTGCTGGGGTTGGACCCCAGCAATAGTCATAGCTGGTCCTTGCAGCAGAATCAGCCCGTGGGTCAATCCCTCCCAGTGACCTGCCAACAGCAATCAAGGTTCAACTACAATGTGGGGGAGGGAAGAGGGCGCACCTAGAGCACCCAGTGACTGGGTAGGCTGTGACCCTACAGGACACTTACTACAGGAGGCTACTCTACCAAGTCCACGAGACATAGCATCTCTATCTAATACATAGAAACAAACACAGGGAAGCAGTCAAAATGAGGAGACCAAAAAACAGGTCCCAAATGAAAGAACAGGACAAATCTCCAGAAAACGAACTAAATGAAATGGAGACCCTGACTGAATTACATGTATATTCTTTCCATTTTCATTGTGCAGCAAAGTGAAAAAAAATTGCATATAGGCATACATGCAAACATAATATTTGTCTATTATTTAAAGAACAATAATCAGCCAAATTTTGACCCTGAATTTACTACCTTATCAGGCTAACAAAATAACAAGGATATAAACAGCTGCTGATTGAAGAATGCGTCTTTAAATTCAAATATCCAAAAAAAAAAATTTCAAATATACAATAACCATTCTGTGTGAGAGCTGAAAAGGTAGTAAAGAGAAATATAACATGCATTATATTCTGTGGTTTTGTGGAATTTAATTTTATTGATAACTGTCCATTTAAGTATAAGTCAACATATTGAGATGTTAGATAATACTTATATTTGTTCTGTTAATTACTTTCTTAGACTATTTAAGAGAGCTAGTGAAATCCAAAAAGTGAACTGGTACTTTTTAAATGAATCCATTCAAAAACAACAAAGTCCTGTGTAATCACCATTAATGATACAATATGTTCCACTCAGAAAGATGGTAAAATTCTGTCAACTTTGTAGAATGGAAAACATGCATAAATGTTTTTTTGATAAATGAATTTTTTGTGTGTTTTTTTTAAATGTTTTTTTTAATATATATTTTATTGATTTTTTTACAGAGAGGAAGGGAGAGAGATAGAGAGGTAGAAACATCAATGAGAGAGAAACATCGATCAGCTGCCTCCTGCACATCTCCC